ACTACTACTTGAGAAACGCTGCGATAGAAACCATTCGCCCGTTAAAATCTGAATCTCAAGTAAGGTATCTCAGATGCAAAAAAGATGGATCTCAATCAGCGTTTAGATATTCCCTTTAAAAAAAATCTTTTCATCGGGTTGCCTTTAAAGCACTCCAGGTATTAGGAACTATCCAATTTATAACCACTATCATTTCTACATAAAAATCTGCCCGAAATTACACATAACACTTCAGGCTATTCATGAGTGTAACACGATGATAATATATGGTAATATTTTAAGCTATCAGGAATACATACTGTGTAGTAGTACAGGTATGAAAAATAATGCTATCTATGAGTTTTTTAGATTCGCCAGTTTCTTTGTAGAGATATTGTCAACAAGTTATTCGGTTCAGTGGGATATTCGCCGGTTCGCTCATTAGCATAGCATGGGAACCGGGGAGTCGCCGGTTCCGGCGATCTCGTCGGTTTTCGCGACCCTACCTCTAATCTACGCACCTGCGACTTTGCTACAATACTAGAGAGACATATAACTGATGTCGATTCTAACTTCCATACAATTTCTATCTCTTGTGATACAATAAGGATGATAATAATAATAAATAGTTTGTTTGCATTAATGAAATGCGATTAGGTACAGTTAATTTCAATATGTATTATTTAATGCAATTTTTTGGTATATATTTTAAATGCATAAATTTCAGTTCATATCAACCACCTAAATTTTCATACGACTTGATTTAGTACATGCTTGAATATTTTAATAAGTACGAACTTATTAAAGAACGTAAAATCTTACGGTACAGTCCCGTAAACCCATACGTATTTTTGGCCAATTTTATGGGTAACATTGACACTCTGCCTTGTCGCGTAGGTACGGAGTCTAGCCCCTTAAGTTGTTTACAAGTAATTTATTATTAGTAGACTAGCGTCAGTTTGTAGTGTATCCAACAAGTTTGCGTTTACACATTACACATTACATACTTGTATAGTTTACATTTTATAGTTGACTACTTCATAAATGCGAAAAGGAACTAAAATGGTGATTAAATAACACGAAGAAGACATTCCAACTATAGAAGATAAGAGCATATTAAATTCTTATCGCTTCAAGTTTTCTTGGTTGGATGCTTCTTCCCAGAACGGGAGCGTTTAATTTTACTTTCGCGAGACAAAGCTTCCCGGCATGGGGCGACGGGAATTAAAATTACCACGGAAATTGATGCTCTCCGCTCCGCCTGGTCCGCTCGATTCATTAATTTTTGTGCACGCGTGTGCACCGCGAGGACAATAGAATTCCCAGCAGGTGCAATGGTACGACCATTGTCGATCTGCCACAGTGTGTGCACCAATCATGAATAAAAAAGGAAAATGATCTGATAGAAGTCTTCTATTGTTTCATTTCAGTTCGTTCTACGAGTAGTTGATAACACGATAAAAGATATGTTCATTGGTGATATAGTAAAAAATATATTCATTGATTGGTAGTACAATAATCAGTAAACTGCGCGTTTTTATGCAAAATAGATCTTGTAGAATATCATTTAAAAAAATCAAATCTATTATAAATATTAAATTAATAACAAAACAGGAAAACGTTTTCTGTATACATAAGGAAGATTAAGCTCCACTTGCAGCTATCTTACGTCCAATCTCAATTATGTTGCTAAGGAATTCTGGTAAATAGGACTTGTTTCTTAATTCAGGTTAAAATTTGGGTCGTCGAGGATTCTCCCTTTGCAGTTAGGATAGCTTAAAGTATTCAGAAGTAGGAGGATACTGTATATCAATCCTGGGTTAAAGCTTAATCTTACACAGCTTGACTTATTTTTTTACCTTGTCCAAATAGATACTCGTATTGTAATCTCTTATTCTTTACACGTTATTCTTTATTTTAACTGATCTTTCTATTTTTATTAGTCTTATTATGATCCGTTATACGAATGTTAAACTTTACTCATCCATTGATCGTTTTGCTAATTTTATATGCTATATGTATTATGTCTAGCCGTAAAGTACGGATTCCATAAAAATGAAAAAAATTTCTAAACCGTGCAATGCAATATGAAAAAGAAAAATGCTTTCAAATTCCATTTCTATTTTTAACCATGCGACGATTTTTTCTCCCACAACTAAGTGCAATTTCCTCGGGGTTTCGGTTCTCCTGGTGGCACATGTGAATTTTTGAACGGTTTTTTAAGCCAGATACATTGATCGATTTTAGCGTTAGCTATGCGCTTTGTTCCGTTCGTTGACTAAAATCGCTAAATATTCAATGATCCCGCGAAGCTTTCCGAGGAAGCCGGCGGCGTACAGGTCTCGTGAAAGGCGACCCATTTATGGGCACGCGGTGGAATGCGTGTGTCGCGAAAGTGGGTTTCCACGGTTAGAGCTGCCCAATGAAATATCACATTGGTTTTTATGTGATTTTATGATTCGATATACATTAAAATTTTCGCGTCTATATCTAATTTCTACGAATGCAGGAAAAGAATTGAGAAAGTAGAACATCAGATTCCATAGATAATAATCGAGAGCAGAAATAAAGGAAACTTGAGAGATGTTCCGTTAATAGAAAACTTTACCAACCGTGTTATTGCAACAAGAAATAACAAGATTAAACTATGTACATCCGAGACTTCAATAACACCCTTGTACTTTCGCAAGTAGTAACGCAAACAAGAACATGCAATGGAATCTAATGTTCGTTATCAAGTTATATCGTAATAACAACGATGGGGAAATGAATTGGAGTTACGCGGACAGTTTGAAACGATCTCCGCGAAGATACTCGATCGTGGAGCCCTCCCTTAGGACTTAGCACTTACAATTAGCTAGCGTCCAAGTAGACAGTGACAGCGGTTCCCACTTTGTTAGCGGATGTTCCATGTATGCATGCGCGTATAGGAAAAAGTAGGCTTTCTTGCTTTTTTTAAGACTCGGGATAAACTATCTTTCGCTTCATGTGAATATTCTTTGTTGAATTATATTTGTATTAAATAAGAATAATTTTTTACACATGCTCACTGTATTTAATACTAAAGAAAGTTATAAAGAAGAAAGAGGCATTAATGATAACTGATATAGGTGGTCGTATGTGCTTGTAGATGCATTTATACTGTAAAATATTATAAATTATTTGAATTTCTTAAGATTTTCAACTCTTCTTCTGAGCACCCACGACTAGTGCTATTTCTACGGTTCCCATCGTTTCTAATTTTTCTCTGTCAAATTTCCATGCTTGTTCTTATCACCCACGCGTTCTTCTTATTTTGTTTATTTATGTCCTCTACTGTATGGTTCAAATCTGAATTCCCATTCCAATTAACATTTAGACTTGAATTTTGATTCTAATGTTATTCGATAATAATTGTCACATTGACTTAAGTTTAAAGAAATATATTGACAAAAATTCGTCTGTAACATTAAAATATAAATCGATGAATGAAAATCAATTCTTTTTATTTTTTGACGTACACTTTCATTATAATGAAATGAGATTTTCGTTTAATTTTATATTCGTCAGATCCCAAACGATTTCTGCTCAAGAATATTTTCATAAGCTATATATAAAAAAGATGAATAAAAGTTATTCCTGATAAATGGCTGCAATATCCTCTTACAACGAGAAAGACGTATCCAAAAAAAGCGGAATCCTTTCTCGCATTGTTTGCATCGACGCTCTTGTATCCGGGTCGAGTCTCATTCTTCTCCCGGCTTTTGATCTTCCGTTGTTTTTCGCTTAATGTTCTATTCCATTTCCGCGTGTTTCCTTTTGTTCCGCCCTAGGCCGACCGCCCGGCAGCCCGGGTTGTTGTTCCACTCGGTTTCCACTTTTCCCCGGCGTTCTGGTGCTTCCGCTTCCGTTTCATGAGCTTTCGTTAATTTCCACAGCGCGCGGGTTATTTTCACCCAAGAGTTACCCCCTTCGCGAACGTTATCTCCGGTGGTGCGTTGACCTTTCAACCTGAATCCTAATGCATATATGCATGCGGACTCGAAATAAAAGGTTCCCTTCCTGCTGCTACTGCTGCTGTTCCTTCCTCTTTTTCTTTTTCCTTCTCCTCGCTATTGTTTCGGGCCCCCGCCCTTCTCGCAGTTAAGCGGGGGCTCGGGTGTGAGAACCGATTTTATCTGTCGCCGATGATTTCTGCGGCGATGATAATTATCCCCTACGAAAGCTCGCAGACGTATCGCAGGACATCTGCTTCGCTTCCCCTTCAAAAATTGTCTCTTTTTTTTTTTTAACAGGTAATAATATTTTTGATTGTTTATGCAAACATCTAAATCTACTGATGTTAATATGAATCATTAAGTACATGAAACGTTGTATCATGTTTTAAATGACAAAAGGAATTTCTATTATTTATGATATATTTATAAATATTTTATTTTACATAAAAATCTTCAATCTATCAAAGAGTTCTTATAATATAATTAAACCATTGTAAGTATTGGAACTGCAAGTATCATGCCATGTTTTTTTATTACTCCCTCGATAGATTCCCATTTAAACATTTAACTGCGACCAACGGTGATTATTGAGAATTATGGTTTCCTCTGTAGCTCAAGATTGCTACGATGCTCCTTACGTAATTCATCCTGCTTCGACCGTAAATCGTCTCCCGGTGTGAGCATCGATTTCGTTGAAAACACAATTTTTCACCACCAAGTAATAAAATCACAAAATCAATTTTCAACAATATATTCCTATTTTCAAAATGATTATTCGCTGCTGCCTTTATTTCTTTCAAATCATCTTCTGCGATGGCATAAATTAGATACAAATTGAAAAATTGTAAGCTAAATGTAGAAAGCAACTTCATCAGCCTTTTTCATTTATGTTTCATTTCTCATACGTAAAGTACACTAAAATAGTTCTCTCCCAAAAAATTCAGATACGTGGCATTAATCACATACACATAGCCCTTCAAAAAATTCAGACTTTTTTTAAAACGACTTTCACTGTTGATGCCGGCTGTAAATGTTTTCCCTTACCTCGAGAAGAGCGGTCAGCAGGCAAAGGCCGAAGGCGACGACGATTAATCCTCGTGTAGGGAACATCCTTCTCCTATACCGCTGCTTATCGTTCCCTCTGGACACGTCGAACTGCAGTTATGTACAGTGTTACGTTCGCCGTCCCGGTTTACAGCATCTCACGCGATTCGCAGATGCACATTGATCACCAACGACCGAGGGCTTCGAAATCCCACTCTTTGCACAGCTCACAATTTTTTTACTCGAATCGTGTGTTCTTATCAGTCTCGATTCGATTAAAACATTCACAAATTTTTGTCATTTAGCTCCAGTTTATACGGTGCACAATTCTTTCGCTTGCGTACTTTCTTGATTGTAGTTCAATTTTAATTGATTAGTTTGATTAGCTGAATTGAACTTAACAAATATTGGATTATTATTGGGTTGTTGATAGCAAGTACTGGATTGTATGAATGGAAATTGTCTTCTTTATATAAGATCGTTGTTATAAGTTTAGTTGTTTAATGTATAAGGGATAAGACGGGTGTACACTTCCAAAATACTGAGCGGCAAAGAACCAGCTTCGACGGAGGTTGATCGTGAATTGAAGGGAACAGCAACAGTGCAGCTGTTATTGTTGAACACGCGCTTGGTCACGTGGTTGACTCCCACCATCGCACGATGACGACACCTTGGCGCAGGGATGCACAAGTCAAATATTAGGGTGCATTAATTAGGTCCTGGAGAAAAGTCTGGATTGCTTCGAAGAAACCGCAGCAATTAACATACACTTCCGTTCGAGAGTTATTAGCAGATTGAGTATTTGCGTCCCTTTGTGATTATTTTAAAACAGGCACAAAGTACAAAAATTGGTACTATTTTTGCAAATTATGTGAAACGAACTGATCTGTAAGCCGATCAGTTGTATTTTTACTATAGATACATTTTTTTGTATTATTTAGTGTGTAATAATCGAGGCACCATTTTTGTACAAATTTATGTATAGATAAAGTGAA